AAACACAGAAGACAAAGGGGAAGTTTTATCTTTGATTTCTCTCTCTCAAGCGAGAAAAAAGGGAAGAATGAAAGAAAAGGAGAAGAAAACAAAGAAAAGAAGCTGTCAAAAGTTTTTACGAAATGTTTCGCGAAAGCACTCGTGTTGCACAGTGTGTACGTATTTTCTCAAACGATACCTCGCTGAGTATCGTCCAATTTGAGAAGAAACTTAAAAAAAAAAAAGAAGAAGAAAGAAATCTATCGATTATCGACATTCGTTCGTTCGTTCGTTCTACGTTCCTCGCCCCTTACGAAATTCGTGGTTTACTTTAACTCTCTGCTTCGTTCGTTTAATCCCGAAGGAATCGTAAACCCCTAAACGATATTTGTTCCCCCCCCCCCCTTTCTTTTCGCTCGTTTTTCGTTACTTATATCATCTATTCTCTTGTCTTTTCTTTTTTTTATTATTATTATTTTTCGTTTACTCTCTGTATGATTTCTGTCTGCCGCGAGACACGATCTACATGTTCTGGATGTCATGCAGGGTGGCCTCCATCTCTTCCTGGAGCAATTTGTTTTTCTCTCTCTCGGCGGCGAGGTCGTCTGCAAAGATCACCGGTTAGAGGGTGGTTGCACACACGCACACGCACACGCACACACACGCACAGAACCGTCTCTCGACGTGCTCTCGAGGGTTGGCAGAGGGTTAGAAAAACACGTTCTGATCACCGAGCAAAATACACACGCGACACACACGTCACCGGTTTTCCTTTAGGTTTTAGGTCGTCGTCGTCGTTAGCATTAAAATCGGCTATTAGCATTAAAACACGTGAGGTAGACTTCGACTGCAAACGACAGGCATGATTCGGTTTCGTAGATGGAAGAGAAATCGATCTCTAAAAGTCGACGTCGATCAGACACTGACTATCTTTAAAGTCATTTCCTTGGTAAAAAGAAGTTGAACTGTTCGTCAAAGGTAAAGGATGTATTTTGAAAAAAAAAAAGAGGATCGTTTTTAAATTTCTACTCCAATCAGACTGTCGCCTGCGGTTCTATTAATCATTGGATGCATTCAAACAAACTCGGGGAGCTTTTGGAAAACAATTCTTTTGGAAAGAAGCGATGTTACGGTTCGTGATTTGTTAATAGATACCCTAAGTTGGTTATCGCAACTGTAACTCGTCTGAATGCAAATCTTACTCTCTGTATTCTGCTCCCTTCGACTCGTTTTCTTTTTCAACGTTCGATTTGCAGTTCTCTCTCTCTCTCTCTCTCTCTCTCTCTCTCACTTTCTTACTCTAACTGAAGAGCACAACTTCTAAACGCTAAAGATTAAACTAAGGTGTCGACGGAAATGCTTTCTTAGAAGGAAAAAAAAAATAATAATAAAAAAAAAAAAGACACTGTTCGAGAAAGTAAAAACCGTCTCGAAAATGAAAATCTCGCACGACACGAGACGCGAGAAACGAGAAACTCGAGAGATGATCGAACATGGTATACGCACCTTCGAGCCTGTCGACCTCCTTCTGCAACTTCTGCACGGATCTCTCTGCGAACTCGGCACGAGCTTCAGCCTGTCGTAACAGGAAGAACGAATGAGTACCAGGGCTTTTCACACTTTCGCGTGATTTGTCGTCGATTTTAAAATGTCTACAGGGACAACTAAACTGTCTGTGCATGCGTCAATGACAATAATTTACAGTGTATTACGCATACGTATTGTTACGGTGGCATTTGAGCAATCAAAACGTCAAGACTATAACAATAATCGAGTATTTTTTTTTTTTTATCAAAACATTGAATACCTTATATATTCTTCTTTTTTAAAATCGACGAGTTTACTTTCGTTTGTTTCTATTAGCATTAGTAACAACTGCACTCCAAAACAATTTAGCGAGAAATTAGTCGATTGCACACTTTATTAAAAGTTTAGGTTTCTCTCTTTTTTTTCTTTTTTTTTAATGATGATTCAACACACAAACACTCGTACCTCGTTGAAAATTGGGCAGTATCGCGATATCCATTCGTCGTTTATCAGAAAACGCTATGAAATCTTTTGTTTTCGTCTTTACTTATGCGTAATACGCGAGATAATCGGCGCGTGAACTGAATTTATGCAAGGTGTGCAAAGTAAAACAGGGATGTGTACTAAAAAAAAAAAAAA